TCAGTGATGAAAAGGTGGTTGTGTGATTGTCTTTCCTTTTTTGGAGAGAGGAGAGGCTGGTGCAGATGGGGAAAGAGGAGATTGCGATAATTACATGGTAACGAACTCTTGTTGTGAAATTAGCATCTTAAGAAAAATAGTGAAAAGGGCTTTTATTCATGAATACTTCATTACGAAGAGGAGAGCACCCATTGGCAGCTGGGGCACCTGTTCGGAATCAAATAACTCTTCTCTTGCCCACCTTTCCCTCGAGAGAGCGCCATGTTTCGCTGAGCTCTGTGGCCCTCTGGAAGGGGATCTTTGGGTAGGGTTTTGAAAGGGGCCACCGAGGGGCTTCCCGCAGAAAGGGGCCGGCACTGCTCTTGCGCCGGGTCTGTGTCGGCACGGCCCGCTCGGAGGAGAGCATGGGGGGCGGGGGCAGGGGGTGCTGCAGGGGCCCGGGGTGTCGGGAAGAATGGCTCCCTTGATCATTTGCATGAAAATAGGATAAATGCAAGGAAGGAAGTTTTCCGATCGGCATAATTTCTCCTCTTGTGCACGCGAGCGGGTTCTGCGTGAGCACAATGGCATATTTGGTTTTCTGTGTCTTAAGTCTTCCGTCCGTACCGTATTCTCACCCACGAATTCTTCTTACTTTTCAATCACATTGTAAAAATTATTTCGCAGGGTGCTAATGCCGCCAGTGTCATTCGGCCCCCTTGTCCCTGGGTGTTCATGCAGACCCGGCGGGGCTTCCTGCGAAGGTGCCGAGTGTGCGTGCCTCAGTCGCAGGATTCAGTGGGGCGCCCCACGGCGGGCTGCATTCGGAACCAGCCCCAAAGGCACATGGCAGGTGCAGTTCCATTTAGATGCCGGGAAGCACTTCCTGACAGTTGGGACCCCGAGGGCATGGCATGGGCTTCCACGCGATTGAGGCCCCGTCGGTGCGGGTGTCCAAGGATAGGCTAGACACGCGCATGGTGGAGCCAGCTGGAGCCGGGGTCAGACTGGATGGCCCTTGAGGCCCCTTCTGACTTGCTCTGTTTCTGTTTCTGTGCCTCCCCGCTGCTGCCCCCGTTCTTTCTGGCACCAGAACAGCTGGGAAGCAACGGCTTGCCTGCCTGGTTGCTGGCTGTAAGAGCCCCCCTCTGGGCGAGTCTCTCCTTTCCAAGTCCGCCAGCCGGACGAGGAAGCAGCAAGCCAAGCCCATCCAGAAGCAGGCACTGCCAGCCGCTGCCGTGACTCATGACCCTGGTTTGGCGGGATGGCGGGTTTGATGCCAGATGGACATGGCAGGGAGGTTGTTCCAAAGATGGGGCCCCCACAGAAAAACCTCTGAGCCTCTGGTGGGTCGGCCTTTGCAGGAGGCCCCCGGAGGGCGAGCGCAGTGCCGGGCGGATCGCGGGTGGGGGAGGCGCTGCCGCAGCTTCTCAGGCCAGCCTAGGTCTCCTTTCCCCCAGAAGGAAGCAGGTGGGCCACTGAAGCCCTCCGCAGAGCAGGGGACCCCTTGGCCAGCAGCCCCTCTGGCCGCCTGCCGGCTCGTGCCAGGCCTGCTCCCGCAGCGCCTTCTCTCCGGAGGTCTCCCGTCCCCGTGTGCTGCGGCTGGGAGGGAAGGCAGGAGACGAGGCTGTTCGGCGCGCGAGGGGGGCGAGGCATGGAGTGAGCAATTCCCTCACGTCCACACCAATTTTTCAGCCGGGAGATGTGGGCGAGCCGCTTCCGCCAGCGTCTGTCCGCTGCGTTCGGGGAAGGACGCTCGGCTAAATCGCGCCAGCCAAAGGCGACAGAGAACACGCTCCTGCTTTATTAGCAGTGATGGGGGAACATCCCCGGGGGCAGGTGGGGGAAGCTGCGCGGAGGGCTGCCTCCCCCTCGCCCTGTGAGCCGCGGGCCGGCGGGCCGGCGGCATCCGGCCCCGAGGCGGCTCCCGAGGAGGGCTGGCGCGTGCCTCATCGCCTCCGGCCCCCGGCAGTTCCCTTCTCGGGCAGGCACTCCCATCGGATGCTGTCGCTTTCCCTCGCATGCCAGATGGCTCGGGACGGGTGGGATCGCTGTCGGGCTTTGCCCCGCTGGCAGGCTGCGCTCCTTGTGGCGCCGCTGCTTCCCCGCGTCTTCCGCTGCCCCCGTTGCCACTCCTGGAGAGACTTGGTGCGTCCAGAGCGGAACTTGTGCGAGAACGGTGGGGGTGGCCTGCTCCTGCCCCCGGCTGGCAGTGGGCCCGATCCTCTCCGTCCACCCCCTCTTGGAGCTGCGGTGCAGGGAGGCCCCTGGGAGCAGGGGACGGGGGGCCGAGGGAAGCGCCGCTTGCTCGCCCGCCCTGTTCTGTTGGTGTCAAGGCGAGGGCTTGGGGCAGTTGCTCTTGCCCTCACCTTGGAGGCCCCCATGCCCCAAATCCTGCCCTTCTGCGTGGGGATAGAAGGCTGAGCATACTCTGAGCCCAGACGGAAGAGTTTGTCTGCACATTCTCAGGGACTATGAACACGCTCCTCTTGGAGCATACCGGCCCAAGCTCCTGCTCAGGGGTAAGCAGAGGTTTTGGCCCACACGCCCCATCAGCTTTGGCCAGCAGTCAGGAGGATGGGTGCTGCACTGGGAGGGCCAGTGGCCTCCCTCCTCCGGCTGAGCCTCTGTTTCAGCCTTCCACCCTGGCGCCCTCGGTGTGCTGGACTGTGGCCGGGCTCGCATGGCGCAGCAAGCAGCCCTGTGCGGCTTCCACGGAGCGTGAGCGTTTGCCGGCCTAACAACGACAAGCGTCCTGGGGTGACGCAGAGCCCATGCTCCCCGCCCTCCCCTCCCGGCCTCGCCACTCCTCCCAGGAGGCCCTGCGAGTGAAACCCCCGCCTTGCCTATGGCCCACAGCGGGCACGTCACTCAGCCAATAGGAATAAAGCCAGCCGTGACATGCCTGTTGCTAGGGGGCCAGGGGCCGTCGAGATTGGAGGCTAGAAGCAGCCCCTTCTGTGGCTGCTCTTGCCAGAGGACTCTATGGCATTTCCATCATGGCCCGGTAAAATGTTGTTCCCGGGTCTGGTTGACCGGAGCCGCTGCAGCAAGCGTGGAAACTGAGCGTAGACCGCGGAGCCTCCTCACCCAGGGCTTCTCATGTGTGAGCCCGCCCTGTGACTCTCAGCTAGCTACAATGGGAGTTGTAGTCACACTCGCCTGGAGGACAGCTGGGTGGGGAAGCGCTGGGAAAGTCTCGGGCCAGGGAAAACGGATGCACTTAAGAAAAAAACAAAGCACCAAAGCTCAGAACTTCAGTCCTGAAGCCAGCGTTTAATTTCTTTCAGAAATCATCATCTTAAATGTCCATTAAAAAATAGCTTGCTGTTAAATTGCTGTCTAGGTGCAGTAAAATATAAGCACATTAAAGGCTACAGTCCTGATCTCTTAAAATCCAGTCTGTGACTCTCTTTCTACGATTCTGAGAAAACCTGTTTTTCTGTGCCACAGAATAAGTCTGGGGCAAAAAATGTGACTTTCGAGGCCAGCTGTAGGTCACAGTGTCTTGTTTTACGGGTTATTAATAGTTAGATGTTGACACCCGCAGCAGCCTGGACGTTGGCTTCCTGGGCCACGGGGCACGTGGCTCAGCTCGGCACTGCGCTCACCACGGCCAGCGGCTCCGGATCGGGCCCCGGGGTACCATCAAGGCGGTCATGTGGCACGGAGCCGCATTTTTAAGTAGTTATCGCTGCCAATTCGTGGGCGTGCTTATTCAGAAAAGGCAGGAATCAGGAAGCCGACACTCCGCGTAGGTCCCTCCGCTCGGGGATGCAGGGGAGATGCGGGAAGGCCCGGCCGGAGCCTGCGGTGGGTGCTCTTCCCCTTGCGGCCGGGTGCCGTGCTTTCCCGATGGGCAGCGACGGCTCGGCGTGCAGCAGGCCCCCTCCATGCACGGCCCGGTGCGCCCACCGCTTCCCTGGGGAGCCCGGCCTTTCTCTGCGGCAGGCGGGCCCCGGGAGGTGGGGTGGGCCTGCCCTGGCAAGCGGCTGCCCGGGACTTCCAGCATGGGAGCCGGAGGGAAGCGGAAGCCCTGCTCCTTGGGTGTCTCCAGTCCTCGGCCCGTTGCAGCGGTGAGCCCCTTCCGGAAGCCACCGGGGCAGGGGGAGAGGGCGTCGGGGGGCTGAAGCAGAATGCACGCCATGCGCTGCAAGACTTGGAGGGCAAAGCCGTGCGCTGAGCTCGGAAGGAGCCCGGGGGGGGGGCGTGGCCCTCCCCTCCCCTTGCCTGGACTTTGTCCACCTGGAGGCTCTGTGCTCCGTTCTGGCCGCGGGGGGGACCGGAGCCGCTCCCTTGCGGGGGGCTCCGGCCTTCGTGTCGGTGGGGGGGGGGCGCTTGGAGAGCGTCTCTGACAAGCGAGAGGGAACCGCTGCGAGGGGACACGATCCGTTTCCCTTCTGCCTCTGGCAGTGCCGTGGGGCCATGGACCAAGCCGTCCCGGGGTGGCGTGGGTCCTGTCCTTGGGTGGGCCCACGGGTATCCCTGGCGGGCCATTCAGCACTCAGCACCTCGGCCGTCCCGGTCCTGCACCGAGAAAGAACAGGCTGCCTCAGTTCTGTGGATTAAGGAGCTTCGCACAGTATCTGTTGCTTGACATAATTTATTGAGATGTTATCTTCACCACCGTGCATAATTTATCCCTGCCTTGCTACCCCGGGGAAGGGCTGCAGAAGCCCACTAGAAACGTGACTCAGCATCGTGGCTTGGTTGCTTTGAGATCTGAGCCTGCATTGCCGTTGTTCTCCCAAGCACATCTTTGTCCCCATGAGGTCTAGAAACTTGTGTTTTGTTTGCCATCGAAGGGCGTTTATTTTCAGGCAGCAGGATCACGTCTTTGGTGCTCTGAGGAAGCCATGGCACGAGTGCAGCCCCGTCCTATCCGCAGCTTCGTTTATGGCGCTCTTTAAAACCAGGAGGGCGTTCGGCGTCATCCCGCTCGGGTCGGCCGCCTTTGCTGCTGGATCCAGAGGACGGTGTCCCAGGTCTGACCACACGATTCTTCTTTCTGATCCCTGCAGAGCGTTGACTCCGCGTGAACCCTGCCGGCACCACCAGAATGTTGGCCTGCCTGCAGAGGACCCAGAACCCGCCGAGCCAGCGCCTGGCCTGCCTGAACAAGGCCCTGGAGCCGCGCAAGGGTGAGTCCCTGCCGCCCACTTGCCACTGAGCAGAGGCCGCCAGTCCCCACGATTCCTGCTCAGGCTGACGGGGCGGGTGGGCTTCAGGAGGACAAGCTTCCGTTCTGCAGGGGGGGGCGCAGCGGGGAGAGCGCACCCCACAGCAGGGGCTGGCCTTTCCTCCAGGCTGTGGGGGAACAGAGGCAAGGGGGCCGATAAAGCGGAGCCGGTTTCTTCTCTAAGAGCCGGAAAGACGAGGGCTATTCTTAGTTTAGTGCTCCCCCCCCACCCCCACACACAGTAAAAGTCAGAGCAGCTTCCACTGCTCACGAAGCAGCAGCGTTGAGAAGCGGGTTTAAAACAGCCCGTCCTTTAAAAAAGGCAGCAGTTAGAACTGCCGCAAGTCAGCAGAACTGGAGCTGCACTTGGCGATAAAAAGCAATTAGCACCTTTTGAGCATTCAAGAGCCTGAAGCGAAGGATGACAGACGGAAGGGTGGCTGGAAGCGTTCCGACTGCCTTTGCCCAGATGCTGAAGGAGGGCGGGGGGAGGGATCTCTGCTTTCCGGGTGCCACCCCCGAGGAGGCCCCGCTCGGACAGCCGCCGGCTGCTCCCCCGTCAGCGCAAACCGCGCTCCTTAGGATGGGGCCTCCGTGGTGCACGTGGAGGGAAGCCCTTCGGCCAGGTGAGAAGCCTGGCCGAGGGAGTCCGGGTGGCCGGCCGGGGCCCCAAGGTGGGCGCGGTTCGCCTGGAACTCTCCTCCAGCGTGGCTGCACCGAGAGAGATGGGTTGGAGGAGGCGCGGGATTCAGCAGGACGGGTCGTGGTCTTGACTCTCTCCCGTAGCGGGGTTTTCGGTTTTGCAGCCACTCAGATGGTCCCCAGCTTCCCTTTCTGCATGGAGGCACTCGGAGCAAGGAGCTTGTCCCCCTCGCCGTGCCGCATGGGGTGGGGGGTCCCGTGTGCCCCCCAGAAGGTCGCCATTCCCGTTTGCCATAATGGTGGGTGGCGTCCGTCCTTGGAGGGGAGAGGCCCGCAGCCCTTCCCCGCGTCCATGTGGTGCCATCGCTTGAAAGAGGGATCCCGGCGTGGCGGGGAGGGAGGCCCAACGATGGAGAGCCCCCCCGGGCTGGCCTTCCGGAGCAGGGGGACCGACCGGCTCGCCCCATCTTGCTTGGGTGATCTCTTCTCTTGCTGAAGCAGATTCCCGTCTTGCTAGCAAAGAAGAGAGACGGCAAAAGCGGTGCTGGATGGAATCTAAAATTTGGAGGGGCTGCTCGGCAGGAAGATCGGCCTGCCCTCCCGCGTCTTTGATGTCGCATTAGAAGATGCCCCCGTCACTCGTTTCCAAGGAATCGCTGCCCTCGCAGCCCCCCCCCCCCGCCTTCTCCTCAGGTCCCCATAATTACTTTGCTGGGTTTTGCTTCGGCTCTGCAGTTCTTGAGCGGCCTTTCAGATAAGCCGTAAACTAGTTACATTAAAATAGGTTCCGAAAGGTCACTCGGCAAAGCACCTGTTTCTTGCGGTCTTTGTCTCTCAATCCAAAGCTATGATTAAATGTATATTTAATGAGCCTGGCTTAGGCGGGCGGCTTTGACCTCTCCGGCTGGCAAAGGCGCATTAAGATTCTCGAGTGATGAATGTGTGTTTTAAAGAGGATGGCTTTTTTCTTAAATTCCCCCATCCGCCTGTGCCACATAGACGGTCCCTTCCCCCGAGCTCAGGTGGCGAGGACCGGAAAGCATTTTTGGCTAGTGAACTGGCAACGTGGGGTCTTCCCCGGATATGAGGGGGACTGAACCTTCCGCATCAGCCTGGGGATTTTCCTGCTGAAATGCGGCCCGCCGCAGGCACGCAGTGGGGGCGTGCGCCCGTTGGACCGGCGTCGGGAGCGCATGCTGCTGGCCCGTGGCCTGCCTCGGACGTGGCCGCACTGGGCGCCCGCTGCCCCCGCCCTCCCCGCCTCGCGCAGCATGTCTGCTCTTGGGCAAATTAAACGGCAGTTTGCAGACGCGGTGGAGAGGGGAAACTGGGTCGGGTTGTCCACTTAATGCTCCGTAGCCACTGCGGAGCACTAGGAAGCTTCACTGGCACCGTGTTCCGGCTTAAGACCGAATCCTCCTCCTCTGCTTCCTCCCCCCCGTGCAGCCCGCAGAGGGCACCTGGCAGGTGCCGTCTTCCCACAGGTGCCCACGCCTGCTCTAGGCAGCCCTGCCGGGCCTCCTGGTTGCCCATGTACCTGCCAACTGTGCGGGTGGGACCAGCTGTCCTTTCCCAAGCCGCGCGATCCCTGACAGATCAGGGGCCTGGAGTGCAAGAATTCTGAGCACGGGGAGTTGCTCTGAGTACCGGAACGGAAGGGAGCTCCTGAACGGGAGGGAGACCCACTGCTCCCTCCCCCCACCCCATCAGCCCCCCTTTTCCCATTAGGACATGAGCGGGCTAATTGGACAATGCAGAGCAGCCGGGTGTCCGGCGCCCCCGTGGCCTCTGGCACACCTGCCCGTGTGGATCTGTCCACCTCCTGCCCCAGAAAAGGGACCTGCGGCCTCCTTGCAGCCGTGGGTCAGAAGGGGCAGGGGGCAGGGTCTGGGGCCAGCTGTCTCTCGGGGGGGGGGGCGTTGGCGAACTGGGCAAGGTGGTGCCACCTCCCCGGCGGCGCTGATCCCCGAGGAGGTGGGGTTTCCTGGGCAGGCGCTCAGGCTCCACGTGACGCCAGCAGGAGCACACTGTGCTATGCCCATAAGAGGATTTGTGTCGAGGTACTTAAGTTGCATTACCGATGCTGCTGGCAGAACTTCCTTTTCCTTGAAAGAGATTTCAGGTTAACTGGGTGCGACTTTTCCTTTCCCCCCGAGCTTGTTCCTGACCCTGGTCACATGGTCTGGCCGCCCTGCGCAGTCGCGCCCGCCTCTCCGCTTGCGCGATCCTCAGGCCGCCTCTCGGCTGCCCCTCCGGAGAGTAATGGCCGCCTCTCGCTCTCCTTGCTCCTTCGCCCGGTATGCGTTTTCCTTTAAGTGCAATTTCCCCCTTTGTTGTTGTTCTGCCTGTGGGAAATTGGTGTGCGTGTGTGTGTGTGTGTGTGTGACCCAGTTCCCACGTACTGGCAACCCATGGTTTATTGCATGCCGGGTTGATGCGTCGTGTTGTGCTCCACCCACAAATAACCCAGAAAGAGACGTCGCGGTTTGTTGTTGGGCTGTGAACGCTGGCTTGTTGGAACCGCGGGTGGCTGTTTTGCGTGAACCAGACCTGTGGATGCTTTGCAGACTGCAAAGGTACAAAGTCATCGGGACGCCACCTGCCAGCGCCACAGGGGTTGGCGAGCCACGCGGGCGCATCATGCGTGGACCGGGCCCGCGCGCACGAACCTGCCTGCTCAGGCGGGGGGTGCCAGGTGCTGCGGCCCAAGCGGCACTGGGCCAGCGTCGGGGAGACGGACTCGGCCTCCTGTCGGTCCGCAGTCTTCCTCCTCTGTTGCTTCTCTAAATGCTTGCCTGGGTAATCGAAAAAGATTGCACTTCTTAAAACTTGACACAATTTAGAAGCGCCTCTGATTGCTTAATTTGCTCCGGAGTATCTCGGTAATTATCTTTATGGGCCTCCTTTCTTGTCCTCTGGCATCGCTTCTGTCAATAGTAAATGAGCCGGCCTGGCTGGCCATGGTGGCAGAACCTCATTACCCTGCCCACTGCTGCTGATTAATTTTTGTACCAGTTTCACATTGGAGGTGGGCCTGCCCGTGCTTGCGCCCGCCTGTGCCAGCCCTGCCGCAGCCCCCCTTTCCTCCGGCACACGGGGGAAGCCGCTGGGGGCAGGCGAGGGAGCAGGAGGGGCCCGGAAGCCTGGGAGGGGGCGAGGGGCTGCTGGCCAGGCGCAGGGGAACATGGCAGGTGCCCGTGGCCTGGGGACGGGGGCAGAGAGGACGGGGCCGAGGCCGGGGCAGCGCCCGGAGGCCCTCCAGGGACGCCCCTGCTGTGTCAGGCCCCCCGCAGGTGTTGCTGGGGCCGCTTTGCAGGTGTGGACTTGCGCTGGGCTTTCAGTGTGCTCGGCCGCGGACAACGGCTTGCGGTCTTTCCGAAAATGGAAGCACGGCACGAGAAGGGCCGCTGTGCGGAGGATCGGGGCGCGGAGAGGAGCAACGGGGGGCAGACGGTGGATGGGGCGGGGCGGGGCGGGGGCAGCCTCGAAGCCCCCTTCTGTGCCCCTTGGCATGGAGCCTGGCTGCGTGTGATAGTGAGGAGCGCGTTGCTGGGCCAGAATTTGTCCGGCGTCCCAAGAGCTCCATGCGCACCCCAGCCGCCGTTCTTCGCATGCCCAGGAGCGCGGCTTCTGGCCAGAGGTTCCCTCACTTCCTCGGGAGGCGCCTGGTCCCTGGGGGAGAGGCCTTTTCGCGCTGGCCCTTCGTCTGAGGAAGGCGCCCCAGGGAGCGTGCTTGCCCCCCGCCCGGCTTTCACTGTCGCACGCTTGCCCCGCCAGGGCTGCTTTGCTCCTGTCCCCGTGGGCTCGGTGTTTCTCCCCCCTGCTCCTCGTCTGAGGAGGGGCAGGGTCTCGCCCGCTGGGAGACCCTCCCCGGGGAAGAGCAGCACGCCAGCTTCTTCCTGAGTGCAGCGCGTCGCAGCCGAAGGAGCGCCCCGCTTGCCTCGGGGCCTTCTGCTCCGAGCCCCCCGGCGGGGGCATGCCCAGCGCGCCGTGCCCGGCTGGCCGACCCGACTCCGGCTCAAGAGCCGCGTGGCCCAGCCTTCCCGTCACCATCGGCCGCTGCGGTTTCAGCCACCGTTTCCGCAGGCGCGCTCGAACCTCCTCCGAGTCTTGCCCACGTTGCCTGAAAACACAGGGGCCCCAGCAGCCACGTCCACGAATAGACCTGTGCTTGGTGAATTTGCCTACGGTTTCTTAAGACTGTAAGCTCCTTGGGGCACTGACCTCTTTTAGTTGGAGAATCACACATGAGCTGTTTCTTCACGCTCTGCTCCTACGCAACACTTTCTGGAGATCGTGTGGTCTGCCAGAGCCACGTTA